TCTCTCTCTCTCTCTCTCTCTCTCTCTCTCTCTCTCTCTCTCTCTCTCTCTCTCTCTCTCTCTCTCTCTCTCTCTCTCATTTCAAATGCTTGTTATAAATTTCAAAGTTTCTTTCTTCATCATGTAATAAATAATAAAAATTAATATAAATACATCGAGAAACTCGAGATTCTACGGGAAAACATTTATAATTACCAAAGTATAAATCGCTTGAAGCTAAATACGCCGTTTTTCCTCTCAATAACAGTGAAACGGAAGTACGTGCTCGATGCACTCGGACGCGTACTGAACGGCTTATCATAAGTATCGCGGAGGAAAAAGATCGGCCAACACACTCGGTGAACGGATTACGACGAGATTTACGCGCTATCTATCGGTCCAGTAACGGATTATTTCAACTTCCTGAGATCGATCTGGCCGGGCAAAATAGAAACAGAAAAACATTATAATCTACCAGCATCATGCGGCATTACGTTATTTCGACCAGACTGCTGCATTTTCCGTTTCCAGATTTCCAATCATATTCGCGCATATATTTTGTTTTAACTAATGACTACAATTTCCGATGAAATTTCTTTTGAGATTGGCAAACATTATCAAAATTTTATGCATTATCTATGTTCTATATTTTATATGATGTTTTATAAGATTTATATAAAACTTTAAAACTTTCGTTTATAAAACTTTTTAAATATTTTTATTGTTTTTTTTTTGATAAAAACTTTAATAAAATATCAAATTGAACTTTAGACAATCTTTGCTAATAAATTTTTAATAAACAGCAAATTTCAATTTTTGCAAATTTTAAATAAACTTAATTTATTTTGATTTAATTATCACTTGATTTAATTATCAGACTATTGAAAAAATATAATCGTTTTCTATTAAAAGATATGACGTTATTTCACATACCTGAAAACTTAAATTATATAACATTAATATTTTATTAAATTATATAACATTAATACTTTATGTATGAATATATATTTGTATATATATCCTTTTTCATCATATCCTATATATTTTCTAAAATTTATATTTTCTAAAATTATTACCATTTATAATTTTATAATATGTATTTCCACATCTTTGAAAGCACCATTTAGATCATCCAAAATTTCAAATTCTATAATATAAAATCTATATCACTAAATGAGATGTAAATAGTATTTAAGACATAAATGAGATAGATGAGATAAATGTGCGAATATAAGGGTGCTAATTGCGGTGCCAATAAAGTGCATGGAAAGTATAAGATAAATCGAATTAGATGACACGCGTACGATCGCATGTTCGATCTAGGGCGTCGACGTCGACGTCTCCAAACTTCTCGTTTATCGATCGACTCTGGCCCCATAGCTTTATCTGCTGTGGACCAACTGTTATCAATAATGCATACTTCACACCTTAATAATTCAAAACTTTCATGGCATCGGAAGTTATTGGAAAATTCTATAATTAATGTAGCAACTCAGTATTTTCTATTGTTAATAAAACTTTAAAAGCAAATTTTCAAACTCATTATAAATTTTAGATTTATTTTATTATTTAGTAAAATATATCTTTTTCTTCCCTCTCCCCCCCTCTCGCCTTGTATTTCTTCGTTTCTTCATTTTGTATTATGTTAAAATGATATTAAAAAATTAAAATTACACAATAGAACAATAAAAATTAATTTAATTAATTATAATTTGTTGTTTTTTTTTAATTTGTAATTATCGCTCTGTGATTTATTAGATAATGTATTTATAAGAAATTAAATAGATAATAATTTTGTGATGAAATATCTATATTGCGTCTGTACAGATATATTGTCATTTAGGAATCTGTTATCGAATGACAAACCGATTCCTCCAAAGATCGATCGATAAAGATAGGTGAGGAGAATCTGGGTGCACGGTGCTGAAGGTCACACTTACAAGACTTACGATCGGCGTGTCTGGTCCTCTTGCGCTCGCGTGGTGTGGTTCTGGTAGGTGGTGTTTTTGTGGCAGTTTTCACCAGAGATTCCAATAATTCATCAACGCCATCAGCCAAGTTGCCATTGGTACTTTCGTCCCTGAGTACCGGGCCCAGTGGAATTATACGACCTAAAACATAATATTTTCTGCTGTTCTGTAAATGCTCTAGAATTTTTTCCTATGATAGCTTCGTTTCAACGTAGCAAACCGTATTATATTGCATTATATTTATAAAAATAAATTTGTTGT